ATTTTAATGTTCAGGTTGTAAAATCTCTTCTCTTTCTCCATTTCCCTCAGGTCCTTTAGTAGAATGCATCTCCTTCCCTAACAGAATCACTTCCAACAATCTAGCACTACTTGCCGCTCAGTTTGGCGCATCCATCCACTGCCCATCCTACGGGCTAGTGTAGTGTCTCCCAAATATTTGCATGGTGTGTACATGAAACATCTGTACAGGACACAGTGAGTGGCCAGGGCTATCTCAGACCTCCACAGGAGGCCGAGGGGATCAAGGCTTCAGTCCACCCTAACCCACGTTGGGCACAGCCCACTGCTGTGGACCCCGGGGAAGGAGATAGACCCAGTCCTCCCACTGCTCAGTGGCTCTAGAAACACAGGAACTCAGATTGCCAGGGAGGAAAACAGTAAGAACCCTGCTGGAGCCCAGACACAACCCCAGGGCAGAGACTGTGAACAGCAATCACAGGAGGACTGCTCCAGGAGCAGGTGATATTTCTGTGGATCTTGGATAAATGGGCAGGGTTTTAACAGGAAGTGAACAAGGCAAGAGGGAGGAAGGATTTCTCTGCAGTGAGAGTTGTTCAAACAAATCAACCATCTCCCCAGGTGACCCACTCAGCACAGCTGGGAGGAGGTGGAGGTGTCTTGCGGACGCAGCATGTTCTCCACTGATTCCTACTGACAAATGCACTTTCTCTGGAGGAGACCTCGGCACCTTGCTGACCTTGATCATACAGCACACATTATAAAGCACACAGTTCGATAGAAAACCCACCACCTTTCTGATAAAACACACACAATACTACCGCCCCTCCTGGGCGTGCCGCAGAAGTTGTGCTGGCTGCCAGGGATGGGGGTGAGAAGATTTGGGGCTCTCGTAGCTGATCTGCTTTCCAGGCACCTTAAGTTTGTGTGAAGAATGTCCCTCCACCAGCTCAGAATCATTATTTCCACTTCTAGGTAATACGTGGCATCCATTCAAATCAATCAATTCCACTTAGAAGACCTCGGAGATCTTGGAGACCAGGGGACTCCCTGGAATCTCCAAAGGCCATGCAGAGACTGTCGGGGGATTGATCCACTCCAAGCCCTTCCTCCCTCTGGCCACCCCCACACCTCACCCTGGCCCTTTAAGACCCATTAGGAGAAGTATTCATGCTTCTAGCATCAACTAGTAACACTGCAGTCATATGTAAATGCATGCGCAGTGAACACGTATTCTAAAGAATGAGGACTCCTGCTAGCTTCCTGAATAATATAAAAAAGTCCAAGCTAAGAAGACGAAGGGATCAGGGAAAGTTAAAAGGGAGTTAATTATTTATAGCAACACTGAAAGCTCCGTTTCCACAAACAACATGTTCGACTTTTTGAGAATGCCCCGCTTGGGACTCATAAAACCACAAAGATAAGACCAACCGAGCCCAGCCTCTCAGTGGGCACTTCCCAGGACGGCTTTGCAAGATTAGACAGTGTACGAGGAAAAAACAATGACTCTCTCGGGAAAACGACATGAGCTTTGGAAGACGAGGCAGCAGGAAACCGCAGCGTCTGTTACACTGCACAACGTGGCCCCCTGAAATGGCCACAATCATCGCGATCCGTTCATTCTTCATTAAGCGGTGATTACAGTCCACGCCAGGAACACTGGAGATCATCAGAGAGCCAATTTCCTTCCAAGCATCCGTTTCCTGTGGTCATTTTCGCCTTTCCCAAAATACGTTTTCAGTCCAAGCTCCTTCCGCAGCCCTCTCTGTGAAGCTCTCCCATAATGTGATGCTGTCGCCTCACAGTTTTCAAGTCCCCCTCTTTCTGACCCCCGACCCGGGGCCGCTTTCTCCACGTGGACACGCCCAGACCTCCAGCCCCTCCCATAATCTGTACAATCTCCCATCACAAATGCATGAAGGCAATTTGTTTAGCCACATGTAGTTACCAATATTCAAAGGTTTTTGGCTTGCACGGAGGCAAGCTCAGGATTCAGCCTAATGTTTCAGATGGTCTTTATTTACTTTAAGTCCAAGTCAGGGACTGCATTTTAATTGTGGTGTCTCTCCCCCCTACCCCCCCCTACACACACACACACACACACACACACACACAAACCCGTCCCCAGTACTTCTTTAAGACACTCAAAAAATTGTTTTTTGGGGGGAGGGTTGGCATCATTAATCAATTAGAATATACAAAACTTTTAAAAGAGTAAACATGCATGACAATGGCATTCTAAAAACAGGAGAGGTCACCCATGCCACCTGACAGGCTAACACAGCCCCGGGCACTGGTTCTGCCCCTTCGCCTCTGCTGGGCAAGGGAACTGCTCATCATGATAAATACATCTTCTGGGTCTCTCACACTCCAGTCTTACGGTGAACAAAATGTCCCCAGACAAATGCTTCCTTGCCTGACTCGTAGCTCGTTTGGTGAGACATCTCAACTGGAGGAACAGGAAGGCTGCATGGGACTGTGGGTACCACGGACATCGGGTCACCTACCCTGTTCCAGGGGCGATGCGGGCGTGTGTGGGGCAGAGGCAGACTGGAGCAGACCATCGTTCACTCCCGCTAAGGCAAGAATGGCAGTGGCTGCTCACACAGATCTGGAGTCTGTGTACGAGAGCACTGTATGGAATCCGGAGAGCTGGAAATCTGGAGAGCCAATCAAGCTCTAAAACTCCCCATATGTGTGCACACAAGCCCATGTGTGCATAGGAGCACATGTATGTAGCTCTATGCGGATTCTGCAGGTGAGAGGAGAAAGAAGAAATCACCGGACGGCGATGTTACTGGGAGCAGAGACATGTTCTAAGACATAGCTCTGACCACCACTGTCGGGCACACCTTGCACTCACAGGTCCCTGACAGCAGCCCCCTGGCATGGTGCCGGTGTCATCCCTGTTCATGAGGGCGAGGAGGTTCCGCCCCTCGCTCACGCCCGTGGGGCTGGCGAGTGACAAAGTGATACTGGAATTGGAACCTGGCGCTCTGCTCTGAGTCGCGCTGCTCAGCTGGGGAGACTCAGTTACACGAGGAAACGATTCAGGCAGTCAAGGTGGTGATAGAGGGCCTCCATTTCCACCCAGGTCACCCCTTCCCCCCACCCCCCGGGCCCTCAAACCCGATACACAGCAGGGTCACTGAGGCCTGGGAAGCCGGCCACTGCCGGGCTCTGAGTAGTGACGGGCAGTTAATGTGCAGCCACGCTGAGCGCTGAGAAACCAGCGCCCCTTCCAGCCATAAAAGCCAATGATAAGTGGGATCTGGACCCTCTAAGGCGTCCTCTCGCCGAGGGGGGAGCGTGCCCCCTTTCTAAGTCCTTTTCACAGAGCAGAAGCGCAGGCTTGGGGCAGCATCCTCCCAGCCGCCTCTCCTCCCTTCGCTCTCCCAATGTTAATTGAAAAGACCGTCTCACCACCCACTTCATTCCTCACGTGGGTACGTGTCAGAGAACCGCAACGGCCCCTGGGCAGTAAGTAAGAAAGCTTGTCAGAAAGATGGGGCGCTCCCATCACGGGAAGACAAACAACGTTTTAGGTTTCAGCCTCTCCTCTGCGAACCATCACTGACCAGGAAAGTGACAAAAATCACGTTTTAAACCTGAAAAACTAAACACAGATGCTGGTGGGGCGACCACACTGGAATTCAACCTCCCAGCCAGCCACATTCAGCCAACCATGTTTACGAGTGTGAGGGTCCGTCAGCAGAATCGTGGCTCAGAACCACCAGGTCTGGGGACATTTACAAGTTACCCCACAGAAGCACACATGAGAAGGCCAGACATCCAGAGATGGCAGAGCTGTGCCCCTTAGCCATGCACACCTGTAACAGGATGGCAACTCCGGACACAGCCCTGTGTGGATGGCCGGGGGATGGCAGCACAGTCTTAGCTGTCCCCAACAAGCCCAACAGTGTGAGTGATTATGGCGAATGCCAGCCTAGGGCAAGGCTGAGAAAGCTCCGAATTTAGAGCACAGGAAGTGTTATCAGCGTGACTCAGTGGTTGAGCAATGACCTATGAACCAGGAGGTCACTATTTGATTCCTAATCAGGGCTCAATCCCCAGTAGGGGGGGCGTGCTGGAGGCAGCCAATCAATGATTCTCTCTCATCATTGACGTTTCCATCTCCCTCTCTGCCTTCCTTTCTGAAATCAATAAAAATGTATATATTTTTTAAGTGCCCAGATGAGCCTCTAACTGCTGGCTCAGATTCGCACCTTCCCCTTCAGTAGTCGGTGACAGTGTTGCCTTGTCTAGTGAGAATGGTACTTGTAGAACTAATTTGGGGAGAAATGGCAACACATAATAAAATACAGGCAACACTGAAAACGGGAGCCAGCACTTCCTTCCACTAAGGAATGCGTGGGAGCTCTCAGGTTAGCCAGAAACCAGGAGAAAGCATCCCCAGGCGAGGATGAAGGGGTCAGACTGAGCTCTGAGAAGTGGGTCCTCTCCCCACAGTGTGTGCTCCTCATTCTGTCTTTAGGGCGTGGGTCACTGATTTGGTGACTGGCAGGAGCTTCCGCACCCTCTCAATACGACAGCACAACAAATTTAGACAAAAGCTCTTGTGTTTTCTCCCATCCAAGTACTAACCAGGCCCGACCCTGCTTAGCTTCCGAGATCAGACGAGATCGGGAGCGTTCAGGGTGGTATGGCCGTAGACAGCTCTTGTGTTTTCTAAAAGTGAAGCAAAGGCTGGAAATAGTTCCCTTCAGGTGCACAGTGTTTTGTTTAAATCTAGAGACATTTCTCAAGATCTCTCACTGGAGCCAGCCTCATTTAAAATGTTCATTGAAATGAGCACCAGAAAGGCAAAGGAACAAACATCCTGAGATGTCCTCACCCAGGTGTCAGTTGGCCAGCCTCCAGCAAAGCCGTGTGTCAACTGTCCTCCCAGATCCAAAACCCATCCGCCTCCTACAAAGGCCAGAAGAGCTAAGAACAAGGCTTTTGGGTCCGATTAGTAGCAAGAGATTCCGGATAAAAACAAAGTTTAAAACTGGCCTCTACCTGTAGCTGTCGCCTCTAGTTGATCTTGAACAAGCCTGATGACGTCAGATACGTCAATCTGATGGTCACTTTCTTCCGTTTGGGCCCCATTGGATCCTCTCGGGGAAGAACAATCCTTGCTTCCCGTTTTCTTGCACAGGATAAATCTCCAACAGTCAAACATGGGGCTGTGGGGCGGAAAACAAATTTTAAAAGGAAAACGAGGTCACGCTGCCAATACACATCCAAGTTTTTGTTTGTTTGTTTTAACAAAGCCCAAATAACTAGATGCAGCCTTTTGCAGACTTTATTCTGAATGGATATAGTAGCCTTAAAATTAAATTCATTCTTGTCTGGCCAGTCTGGCTCAGTGGTTGAGTGCTGACCCATGCACCAGTAAGTCACTGGTTCAATTTCCAGTAGTGGGGTGTGCAGAAGGCAGCCCACCAATGTTTCTCTCTCATATTGATGTTTCTCTCTCTCTTGTGCTCTCTCTCTCCCCCTTTCCATTCCTCGCTCTCTAAAATCAATAAAAACATATTTCTAAAGAATTAAATTCTTTCTTCTCTGGTGAATACCTGACAATGTTCAGTTAACCAAGCAACCTTCTTTCATAATATTAAAGTGAAATAAAAGGGTTGCATAAACAAAAATTTACTTCTGATGTTTAAGAGAAAGCAAAACCTAGATTTTTTTTTCCCCCCTTGACATTTAGGCTCTTGTTTCAAGGATATAAAAACCCTTGGTTCTCCTGGTTTCAATGTCACAGTCTATTTCACTGAACTGGCAAATTATCAAAACCATGCCGAAGGCTTATTCAGATTACTTAAGAACGTTTTCAATCCTCTAAGTAAAGAATGTCCTCAAAGTTCCAGAACAAACAGTAAAATCTTATTCCTCCGGTGAAAACTTGGCAGAGAAGCATAAATCAGGTTGTTTTAGAAGCAATCTTGAATTTAAAGAGACAACTAGTAACTGTATCTCAAAACAGAAGCCATCTGAAATCCTTTGCTGGGCAAATTACTCACCTTTATTAGGTAATTACTAACTACCCTTCTTCAGACGTGGTGTTTTGGAATATTTACGGGTTCGTTACCATTTCCTCCTGTTGGCTTCACACTGGCAGGGTCCTCATTTTAATAATAAAGGCGTAAATAATTGGACTTGGATAGATTTAACCTGTGGCTCCACAATCTCACCTTTTTGTTTTACTGCTTTACATTCTGCATTGTCCATTTCAGGTTTACTCTGGTCCCTGCCTCACGGACCCCCAGGGGGGCCCTTACTGCCCGGTCAGGAGAACGCTGGGAGATTAGAGGCTGTGGCCTGCCCATGGCCGCCATTCTGCATTAGTCAGTGGAGAGTTCCCTGCTGTCCCCGACAGGCCCCTGGGCGCTCTGTCCATCAAGGTTCCCCCTGATCCCCGGCCACAGGATGGCCGCTCGTGCTCAGCGAGGCTCGAAGGTCTGGCCACCCTCTGGCCACATAGGAAGCTTCATAAGCTCCCCCAATGCCGGCTGGCCCTAGGGGGGGGGGGGGAAGAGGGGGGAGCGGTGGAAGGGATTCCAATATGCTGCCTATGTGACAACTGCGCAGAGTCTGTGATTCCAGAGTAAGGAGCCACCACAAGACCCCGTGTGGTGGGAGGCGGATGGGGGTGGAGTGGGGGAAGGAGAGGAAGGCACACAGTTCAGATCCCAAACACTTTGGGGTGTCACCAATTCCATACCTGTCCCTGTCAAGAAGATATCACATTTCTCCCACCCCCTCCTCTTCCTGATAGACATTCATTGGAAAACACAGTTCCCCTGGCTTCACTGCCGGTCCTATAAGATTCACCCTTCCCTTTGTTTCTATTAATGCTGTTGTCGGTCAATAACTTGTTCGTTACCCATATGCATCGTGCGTGACCCTTGTCCAGAATGTCTTCCAGATTCGTATAACCTTATTCCTTAAACTGCTTTGCACACCACCACCACCAGGAACCTTCATGGTGAAAATGAGAGAAGATGAGCCATATCCACACCCTCTCTCCTCCGGCAGAACCTCGCGCCTCGTCATTTGTCACTTGGCCTTGGTCCTTGCTTCATCTTTCACAGAAGATCAGACCATACGGGGTGCTCCAGGAAGGCACAGACTGTCACGCGCAGCCAGATCTGGGTCTAAAGACTTCCCATTGCTTAAATCTAGTTTTGACATTAAAAAAAGAGGAAGAGGCCCTAACTGGTTTGGCTCAGTGGATAGAGTGTCGGCCTGTGGACTGAAGGGACCCGGGTTCGATTCTGGTCAAGGGCACACATCCGGGTTGCGGGCTTGATCCCCAGAAGGGGCGTGCAGGCAGCAGCCAATTGATCATTCTCTCTCATCATTGATGATTCTAGCTTTTTCTCCCTCTTTCTTCCTCTCTGAAATCAATAAAAATATATGTTTCTAAAAAGAGTTCTCTGACTTAAAACAACAGAAAACACTGATTCGTGTCCTCTTTTCTTCTAGAGTCTATTGGGAGAGTTTCAAACCCCAGCAGGCTGATGGTGATCTTAAACCTGCAGAATGACCAAGAAAAGGCTCTTCTGTGCCGGCGGGCCGGGATCTCCCCAGGTCCCGAGAGAGCGTCCATAATCAGCCCTTCCAGCAACCCAAGAAAGGTTCCGGCGGTTTCTGCCCTCTATTCGGCAAGATTTTACAAGTATCAGTGCTCACTCAGGCTCCAGATAGGACTGAGAAGATCCGAGGTTTGGTTTTAATTTAGTTTGTTCTGAAAAACAGAACAAATGCGCCCTTCACCTGACGTGCTGGGGAGGCCATCCCCCCTTGGGACAGGACAAGGTCCAGGGCGGCCGCCCCTCCCCTCCCCAGCAGGGCAGCCCGGGCACCTGAGACAACTGGGTTTTGCTGAGGACAACTGGAGCCCGGGGAGGGTGGGGCTTCTGCCCAAGACTCCCGCCTCCCGCTACGATTTTTATTTTCCAGCTGTTTTGGACAACAGTATTCCCAAAGGCCAAGAAAGTCATGTTCAGCCGAGACCGGTTTGGCTCAATGGATAGAGCGTCAGCTTGGGGACTGAAAGGTCCCGGGTTTGATTCCGGTCAAGGGCATGTACCTTGGTTGCAGGCATATCCCCAGTAGGGGGTGTGCAAGAGGCAGCTGATTGATGACTCTCTCTCATCGATGTTTCTAACTCTCTATCTCTCTCCCTTCCTCTCTGTACAAAATCAATAAAATATATTTAAAAAAAAAAAAAAAGAAAGGAAGTCATGTTCAACACAACCCTGAAAAACCCTGAAACTCACAGGCACAGTGGGTTTTCCACGGCTCTTATAACCCTGGGAGCACATGTCTAGATGTCAGACCAACCTCGCCTGTCATTAATATCTGTTCACTTTAGCCAAAACCGGTTAGGTTCAATGGATAGAGCGTCCACCTACGGACTGAAAGGTCCCAGGTTCGATTCCAGTCAAGGGCATGTACCTTGGTTGCGGGCACATCCCCAGTGGTGGATGTGCAAGAGGCAGCTGATCGATGATTCTCTGTCATCGATGCTTCTAACTCTCTATCTCTCTTCCTGGCTCTCTGTAAAAAATCAATTATATTATATATATATATACATATATATATATATACATATATATATGTATATATATATATATGTGTGTGTGTGTGTGTGTGTGTGTGTGTGTGTTCACTTTAACAATGTCAAGACCGGCATAACCATAGAGCAGCAAACTATGGTGATGTCCTTTGGGTGTCTTATTTCCGACGGAAAAACAGCCATGCTAAGCAGCTAGGACTGAGGTGGAAGGACAGTAGGCCCAGGGCTGGGCTCTGTCTCTCTAGAGCCTAGGTGTTTCCCACAGAGCACACAGGTGAGAACTCGGTCACTGGATAGCCGGGACCTGGCCAAGCACAGTGCGAGATCCAAGTCACTGGCTCTTCTATCTTCCCCGCCGGCATTCCAGCATCCCTGTGAGGTCCGCCTGGGTGCTCAGGGCACAGTCATCAGGGCAGCCCCCACCCTCAAGGAGTTCGAGTCCTGGGAGAGCCGCTCTGTACATGGACCACAGTCCCGTGCGAACAAACAGGCCGCCATCCCGGCTCAGCAGTGCTCATGCTCACGGTGCAGTCACAGGGCTCTCGGCAGAGTTTGATGAAGGGAGAACTGGGGGCCCATACTCGCACTATCAGGGAGCAATTGCATCCGTGTGAAAATCAGACTCTGTCTGCTCCAGCTGCTTCTTAATTGAAGCAGGAACACGAGAAAAATGCATTTCAAATAGAAATATCCCAACCGGCTGCATTGGTGGCACTCTTACAAATGCATTCTCAGTTATGAGTTGCCCATATTAAAAAGGTAGTCTTGCCCTAACCAGTTTGGCTCAGTGGAAGGAGCGTCGGCCTGCAGACTCAAGGGTCCCAAGTTCGATTCCAGTCAAGGGCACGTACCTTGGTTGCGGACACATCCCCAGTAGGGTGTGTGCTGATCGATGTTTCTCTCTCATTGTTGTTTCTGTCTATCCCTCTCCCTTCCTCTCTGTAAAAATCAATATATATATATATATATATATATATATATATATAATTTTTTTAAAATGTAGTCTTACCATTCACAAAAAAGGAAGAGCTGAAGGGGGGGGGGGGGGAGAGCAGTGTCCAGATGAGAGGGGTCCAGCTGCTTTCCCTGCACCTCCTTATCTGTCATCTCCCCCTCCCCACTGCTCCATCTCCTCCATCCATCTCCATCTTCACCCCCACCCTCTCTCTGCACCCCTCATTCAGTTTCTACCTGGCATGCCCCTTCTGTGTAAGCAAGAGCAGGCCTTTCCCACAGGAGTCAGCCCAGGCCTGCATTCTTTCTCCAACCTTCATCTGAATAAGAAGCAGACAAGGGAGAAGGGAGACACTGCGAAGGTGTTAAATGCTTGCCCACTGGTACTCTCGTTGGCGTCCACATCGCCACTTTCTGATTACATTTGTTCAGGGTTTTATCTTTGTTTCAGTTTAGTTCAGGGGAACCTCGTTTCTCAAACGTCTTCCATCTCAAACAACTCGCTTCTCAACCTGGCAGCCCTTTCATGCTGATACCTGTATGACGCGTCATGCATCTCTCAGGTGGCAAACAAGGAGAGAACATGAGTCCGTTTACCACTGTTAAAATCTCGGGATACTCTGCTATGAATATGTTCGTGC